GCCCTGGACATAGACAAGGTCTGCAGGACCAAGCTCCCCTCTGGGCCCAGATCTGGAAGCTGATGCATCCAGAAAGAAGTTTTGAACCCTGGGCATGTAAGGTGCTTATGGAGCAGGATGGGGTAATGCCCAGGCCCAACCCTGCTCTGCTCCCTCCGGCCAGGGCAAATTCACGACGGCCAGTGACGTGTGGGCGTTTGGCGTGACGCTGTGGGAGACCTTCACCCTCTGCCGGGAGCAGCCCTACTCCCAACTGTCTGATGAGCAGGTCATCGAAAACACTGGCGAGTTTTTCCGGGACCAGGGCCGGCAGGTAGGGATGGGATGGGATGGGATGGGATGGAATGTGACAGCATGGGATGGAATGGGACAGGCAGCGGTGCACTGGGGACACCGGGGACCTGGGGAAAGACTTTAAGGTGACCAGATAGGGAGCTTTGCTATGGGGGCGTTACGGGACAGGACCAGTTGCCCACTGACCCTGCTCCAGCGTTTAGCCAGGCTGGAGACATGAGCAGGTGTCCCCAGGCCTGCACTGTGCCGTCTTGGTGTCCCTTTGCCCCTCAACACACAACAGCACAGCCCTCTTCCCTGGTGCATGGAGAAATGGGGCTCCCCAGGAGCAGTTTGCTTTTTGGTTTCCATGGTAGTAACTTTCTCCCTTTGTCATCTTTGCCTTTTGTTTTGAAGACATACCTTCCCCAGCCTGCACTTTGCCCTGACTCAGTATATAAGCTAATGCTCAGCTGCTGGAGACGGGACACTAAAGATCGTCCCTCCTTCCAGGACATCCATCGCCTTCTCCAAGAGTCAGCCAGTGAAGAATGACCCTTTGGTCTCCCCCAGCCCTGTCCCCATCTCACCCCATCCCCAGAGGAGCCCCATATGCAAACCAAAGCCACTTCACTCGGACTTAGCAATAAAACCCGGGCAGCTGGTCTTGTTCTCATTGTACAGTGAAGCCTCAGAGGAAAACCCCAAGAGCAGCAAGGAGAGCCACGGCGTGGGACGACCTGAACCTCCTGCTTGCTTGCTGACCCAAGCTCTGGAGCGATGCGAGCTGAGACGAGGGTTATTTATTGACGCAGCATGTTCTTGGTGACGATGACTGGGACAGAGCTGCTTCTCTCCCCTGATCAGAGGAGAGGAATGTCTGCTGGACTTTCTCCGTGAGGAAGCTCCCGGCCCGTGCGCAAGGTAGCGCCTGGGGAAGGGCTGTGTGCAGGTACGTGCCCGCTGGAGCAGGGACCATCCATGACCTGCTCAAGGAGGAGCTGGGAGTTGCCACTAGCTCACAGCAGGCTCTGCAATTGCAGGGGGGAAAACAAAAACTCTCTGGACATTTTGGGCTTTGGACATGTCACATGGAGGGGCAGGAAGCCCCATCCCTGCCAGCCAAACCCCAGTTGCACAAGAAGAAGCCTGATGGCACTCCTGACTCCTTGCGTACCTCCCGGAGTGGGTGACACGCTCAGCTGCGGCTCCTCCATGTCAGCCGGGGAGGAGCGGGCACACCAGTCCTGGCAAGAGGCATGCTGAGAGGACCTCCTCCCACCAACCACAGCAACTGCAGAGCTGCTCAACTGCCCCTGAAATGCATTTTGGATGCCCTGTGGGTGCTGCGTGGCAGCCGGTGGTGAGATGTTAGCACCTTTCACCTCCAAGGGGGAAATCTCCAGGTCCTCCTCTCCCAGGGTTAACCCACATCTTCACCTGCTATGAGAGGAACGCACATAGCAGAGCTTTCACTGGCTGCTGCCCAATGCCCAAGCCTGCAACAGCTCGTGGGCATGGCACAGCGGGCACCCCGTCTCTCCCTGGCTCTTGGCCTGGGGATCACAGCTCGGCCAAAGTGCCTGGGATGGACTCTGCCGCCCAGAGCATCCCACAGCAGCCTGGCACCAGTCCGTCCTCCTGGATCCAGCAGCTCCGTGAGCAAACTGGGCAGGTGCCAAAGCCATGTGCCCCCCAGGAGCCATGGCAGGTCACCCGTCATGACTCAAAATTGGACCCTCCTGCAGCTGGACAGGAGGAACTTTGTACTTAGAGGGTACATGGACCTCTCCATACTTTTGTACGCATTAGTTCAGCACCATCAACTCACGCGTGGCACAGTTTCCAGTATACTATTGCTAAGGCATGTATATATTCAGTAGATGCACCTATATATAGGGGCAAACCCGCTGAAGAGACACTTGCTACGTGAATCTGGTTGCATGGTTTCCTTGCGGCACTTCAGAAGGCAGCTCGCCTCCTCTGTGGGCACCTCTGGGAGCCCACTGGTACCTGTCTGCTGGGGGGCTCTGGGGCTGCACTGTGTGCCCTGGGATGCTGTGTGGGGAGAGCTTGGGGGAGAGCACACAGGTAATAGCGTAAGAGGTGGAGGAAGGATGCTCTAGAGACCTGCTGGTTGATCCACACCTGTCGCCCATCTCCTTGGGTGACAGGGAGGGTGCTCTGAGGCTCAGCATCCACATCAGGGGATGTCCACCGGCAGGGACCGAGGTGGGATAGCAGGCCTGGGTGGGCATGGCACAGCGACAGGGGGCTGTGCTCAGTGGAGGGGCTGGATGGTCTCCCTGCATGGGGTCCCTTCTGGCTGCAGCAGAGGAGGTCTCATCCCTGCGGAGTGCATAGCCTACTCCAGCACAGGGCTCTGTGGCTGAACCGGGAGCAAGGACAGGCCTTGTTCATGCCACGTAATTGGTACCCGTCTGCCTCCGCCCTCGGATGCCCTCTCCCAGCTCAGGGTGCGTCACAGCCTCTGCCAGCCCTCCCTCAGCAAGCCAGGAGCTGGGAGCACAGGGCCAGGTAAGGGCAATTCTGCCCCATGGGCACCGCAGCTCGCACCGACCCGAGCCCCTGTGTGCCTGGGCACCCCGCACGGGGTATGCACGGCCATGGGTTAAATGGCACGTTAGGGTGCCTGGGGACCAGCCCCACCGCCGGGGGATCTGGGGGGGGCTGGTGGTGTGTCCATCCCCTGCTCCAGCGGTGACACTGGCCCTGCCAGGAGCAGGGCTGCACCCAGTACCTCCGTTGGCCCCGGCGCACCCAGACCTCTCTGCCACAGCAGCACCGGGAAACGGTGACCTGGCGGCACCTCTGTTCAGCTACAACACATCTCTCGGGGG